TGATACAGCATTCTCCCTCTGAAGAACCACAATTCTCTATTGATCCGAAAAGAAGTAGAATGCGTGTTGCATCCCAAAAAAGAAATGACCGGCAACGAAAGCTATCCTTTCGACTTTTTGCGATTGCCTAGTTCAGTTTTCAGGGAAGGATCGTTTGACATCGGAGCAGCTAAAGCGGCATGTTCTCGTAGCACTACAAATCCGAGTTCTTGTAGTATTGTTATCATAGCAGGGCTTTGTAACTTACGTCAAAATCAAGATCGAAGATGAGACTAGGATCTCCGGTAATCTTCTGTATGTTGCTCATAGAAACCGCTCCAGTTACTGGGTAAACAATTACAACGCCCAGTTGTCGCAACTGCAATAAAGTTTGTTGAGCAATCAGAATCTCTTTTCGCGAGAGTAGTTTTGTTTCACAAATAGAGCAACCTATGGAGTATTAACCGTGGAAAGCAATGAAAGGGCTCCTGAAGCTGAAGGTTAACCCATTGCGTACCGCGTGCTGCACCATGTGCAGCACGATGATTCTTCCGCTCCATCTAAGTTATTTTACATTCTTTTCTGCTACAAAGTTACGAGCATATGTTTTGGACACGGAGAACAACATAAGTACGTGGGACCTCGATCGCTGAAGGAGCACTTGGGTTATTGACCTCTTTCATGAAATACTTCAATTGTGATCTTCTTCATTTATTTTCAACGTTCATAAACACTCATAAAGGATTAAACAGGACACCGTTGATGATATGTGTGGAAACACATAATGCAGAAATATTGATCGCAGGTTGTTCATCCTGTATTCACTAATATTGTGTGGTTTCTAGCGTACGGAGCACCATTCGTCCGGGAAAGGTAGTTCGCCCTCGTCGAGATTGATCCAGTTCAAGTACTTTGCGATAGCATAACGATCGGCTTCTCTTACAATCAAATCAACGAGATGGTCTGAGAAAAATCGCCGGAAAAATCTGATTGGGTACTGGTAAAATAGAACATCTTCATCCAGTACACCACCGAAACCTTGGAAGTCAAAATTGTTCTGCCTGCTGATATTTGGGGTCCATTGAATCCTCCATCGTTTGTATCTGAGCCTTCTTCGCTTGATTCCCAATCGGACTCATCACTTTAATGATTCACGCGGACAAACATATCTTCAGGGTATCGGGGCCCTGTCCCATCACTTCGTTATCATTTTCAATCAGAAGTTCATCAAACGATCTATTTCGCGTCCATCATTGCCTATTTGGAACAGCTACCATAAATTAAGCGTAGTTTCCAAAAAAAAATAGCCTGGAGAAGCGAAACGACGTACGTTGAGTTTATACTTCGCTGCGGGCGCGAGAAATACCGCTCTGCGTGGCCGCGTGCTGCACCATGTGCAGCACGCCGGCGAGGTTGCGAAATATGGCTCGGGCACACGCGGCAGCCAGCGAAAAAACGCCGCGGTACGCAATGGGTTAATAACGTCATCTAAAAGAAGTATCGTCCATCGAGTTGATCCATAAATTTTAGGGTCCCTTCCCATTTAGGCTTGGACAAATGTGTTCATCTTCATATCGAGAATCTAAATTTTCCACGAGAAGTCCTCCAAGAGTCTACTCCAACGTTATTGGCGCCTAACAACGTTAGTCAAACGCGGAAACAATGACGTGATTTGGAGGTGATATAGTGTCCGGTACAGTGTCAAGTGGCTTCTACCCACAAGAACGATCGAAGCGCCAGACCATGTGGCGGTTCCTGCCCGAGCCAGCCAAGCCTTCTTCATTTCTGGGATGGTAACTTGGTACTGTTCTCGTCTGGTAGCATAGAACGTTGGCTTGTCAGTCGACTGGCGCCCGCAACACGTTGTATAAGCCATGTCACATTCAATAAGGTAGTACGATTTTGAGTGCAAGTAGATTGTGTGACGCATCCCAATGACCAACAGCAGGAGTTCTATCTTTCAGGGTAACATTATTCAATGAAGAACTCACATTCGTTACAAAAGTCAGTCACGGTGAAGAGCTCACTTTGGTTGTTAGGGCAGAGTGAGGGCAGAGAAAAGAAGATATGGTAGAGTATCCAGGTAGCTTACCTCTTGGGCAAGTTCGAATTCACTTTTAGATGGTTTTCCCACCAAGCACGTGTTTTCTTGACCATCCGACATGATGATAAGAAGTTTTCGCCTCCCCTCTCTCGGTCTAAATGTAGTGCAGGTTACTCTTTTATTTTAAAGGCTAACTGTACCCTCGTTCCCATGAACCCTGTCCTTCACTTTCTCGGCTCTCAAATACGCGGGAGCGGAGTTGGAGTGTAGTGATACCTGCTTGCGCACGCGCTGCCACACGCCTCACGCCCGTGTAATTTTAAGCGGAGAAAGTGGCTCAAACTGCAGCTGCATCATTCGCCTTGCGAATGGGAAGTATCGTCTTCGTAGGCGAAAGAGGTGTTTGTCTTTGAACCATTACCCTTGCTCTTTGTTAACCTTGTATTATTTTACCTCATCAAGGCAACCATATTGGCAATCTTCACTCCTCAAACTATTGGGTCGGATCAAAGGTAGTGGCGTTTTTTTAATTGGGAATTTTCAAGTAGCAGTCTACGTTCCACATTTGCAATCAGCATTTCAAAACCCACCAAAGCAGCTAGCTCTAGTCAAGCACCTAGTTCTAGTCAAATTGCCATGGGTCGTTGAAACTACCTCCTGTCACACTGAAAATCCACTGTGTACTGCTCAGGGGAGCTCAACCGTCAGATTCACTTGGTACAAAATCAAGAAGAATGGCGATTCCGAAACTGCGCACAGATTTCAGCACGTGAAATTTACCTGATAGACTGAATGATGAGTTCGGCGGCTTCCTCTATAATCTGCAGTGCGAACTGCTCCTCAGCGATAGCGATTACATGGAGACTCCTTTACAAAGTCGTGTGGAAGGCTTCGCAAGGACCTCAGCGATCCTCTCGGGCCATTGTAACCTACCTTCTCCTCATAACCTCACAAGTTTGTGAGGAGCTGTTCATTATTTGAAGCCTCACTCACATTTTCTGAGATTTTCGGAGGAATCCAGAGCACGGGGGCTCTACTATCACTACATAGTTTTGATTTACAATAGATAACTGGTATAAAGCGGACTTTTCAAGACAGTGCCAATGTGCATCGGCTATCGTATATGACAGCTCCTCAATAGGCTAACGAGAAAGTTGGACAGAGCAGCGAAAAGACTACACATTTTCTTCGATGGAATAGCTCCGTGATTCCCACCTGCAGAATGCTGGTCAATGTAACAAGGTTCTGACATCAAAGCAAATCCAACTGCAAACGGGCGGGCTGGCCAGTGAGGATTCACTCATCGCCGAATTAAAGTCTTGCACGAATAAGACCCCTTTTCCGCTCGTTTGATCTATGCTTTGTGAGTAGGTCTCATGTGTATAAGAGCATAAGATCGCATGAGGGCATGCGTGCAAAGGTTTCAATCCAAAAACTTACTGCAAAAAGGGTAGTGGCTAATTCCAGAGCTTGAGCTGTTCCTTTCTCCGCTACCAGATTTGTTGGTATGTGAAGGCAGTGATTGCTGATCTTAGAAGAATAAGCTGAATTTACAATATAGTTCCGCATTGTTTAGAAAAAAGGAAAAGAAAAAAAAGAATAGTTTCGAAGATGAATCACTGCAATGTTAGCAGGCGGGTTGGTAGCTGTAGAAGTGTGACATTTCCCCCCCACTTTCATGCTCGGAAACTAAGCCGGAAGATAGTGACTGCTGGCACTCTAAGAAACAGCCAAACACGCTATCACTCTCTCTCAGATCTGATCGCTGTTCCCTACTTTTGCTGCGTAGCTTCATGGTGGGAGTTCAGTATTTATGCAGTAGCATCACCTTGAGGACAAGGGGGGGGCGTCAATACAAACGGCTTTGGTTTTCCTCTAACCTCACATTCGCGCGCTTCTGAGAGTCCGAAGCCCCACACTTGTGCTGTTGCCAACACGTTCTCTGGTACGATTAGTCCTTTTAGTCCTTAGAAGAAGCAGTTTGATTGAACTGAGAGGGACATCATGATATATCAAATTCATTGGAATACATATGATACTAGGTTCTACTATTATGGGTCGTCGGTCTGGCAGTACTACGTGTGAGTGAGACAAAAAACTGATAATTACCGTATTTCTTTTTCGCTGTAAAGTCCCAGTGGAAGAAGGATTGTTGAAGGGCAACCAATCGCTATAACTCCGATCCTTGCCTTTTGCAAAGAATTGGCTAACTTTACCAGAACGCTGATTTCCTGGAAAGTCTACTTTCGTGAATGCTCTCACTCGACAAAATCATTTTCAGCCTTCAGCCTCTGATTATTTTCTAACAGCTGTGGATGATTTCAAGGATTCAACTGATTGCTTCGGCATTTTTCCCGGCGTACAATAAGAAATATTTCGTAACATATACCATTTTCACTTTAAATTCACCACTTTTCAAAGCAAATTCACCACTTTTCAA